TTTTCCAAAATATTTGCATAGGTATTTAGAGTTATCAGGCGACGCGTAATCACGACTTACCTTAGGGAACGGAGAAAACAGTTTGATGGACGGAAGTGGAGACAATTTTGGAGGTACCGGAATTTCATTTTCAAGTGGCAGTAGTGGTAGTAGTAGCAGTGATGACAGCGACAGTAGTTGTTCAATCTTGGATTGCTATGCAGGATCTACCTGTCCTCAGTTCGCAATTTCGGTGTTCACAACGAGTTAAACTCTTCTGCTTTGATCTGACTCCAAAAGATCTGGTTGTAATAATTGGTCAGTCGTCGAGGATACAAAACTGATTTACACTCATTATTTACTTTATTTCACTCAAAATTTTCAAGCCTCCCAATAGTTGACCATCGAGTTTATTAATGTCACTTGCAACGCTAAAATTTTGTCATCGTGAAATCGATTTTACTGGAAATAAGAGGTACGAGCGGTAAACTGGCTGCGAAAACGCATTGACACCGAAATTCCGAGCGAACAAAGAAATATTGGGCTATCAAACATCTAACATAATTTCGACTCTACAAACTCCAAAAATTTCATTGACACCGAAATTCCGAGCAAACAAAGAAATATTGCGCTATCAAACATATAACATAATTTCGACTCTACAAACTCCAAAAATATAAACAAATGAAATCTCACAGTAGTGATGACAGTAGTAATGATGGTGGTACTGTAGTAGTTCAGACAGAAACACGGGTACAAGTAGTAGTAGCGAAATCAAAGGTAGCGGTAACAGTAGAAACAGCAACGTCGTAAAATTACCACGCAATGCAGTGAAATTCGAACGTAAATTGTAAGGGCAATCAGCAGCGCGACGAATTTGGTAGCAGTAGGCGGGAACACGTCAAATTCTAAATAAAACAGTAGAGATTGATAATCGTGAAGCATTGGAGTAAACGGGAGAAACTAACGGGGATCGGGATGTAGCGCATGAGAGAGTGATGGTGAGAGGGTGAGTAGGCAGCGGATTTGTTAAAACCGAAATCATCGACGCCGAATAAACAAGGTAGAGTAGAACATGGTTGAACTAGTATAAGGTTGTCCCATAAGAAGCTCATTTTCGCGGATGGGGCTTGTTATTCGCCTGTGACGTCACTGATCTCAGTGATTTCACGGGCATTAACCCATCACGGAGGAGAGACGCAAAACAACTTGAATTGGTAAGAATTTTAAACACGGATATTAAACATAGTTGGTATCAGAAATATTTCAAGGTAATGACACAGGTACATGGGATAATGGTAACCGTTTAATATCTTAGGTGAGAAAATTTCACTCGAGGTAATATTAGGCAATGAGCTCAGTACGTGCTAGCAGGAAAGGTAAAGTTTTAAGGTAAGGTAATAGAGAGCTGAAGCACTGGAGCTAGTTGGTAAAATGTTATGGTAGCAATTTGAATATTCAAGGTAATAGCTACTTGGTAAATGACATTTTAGGTAATAGTTCGAGCTAGGTAATATATTAGGTAATGGTAAGATTTAGGTAACGATAAGATTTAGGTAACATTAATAATCAGGTAATATTAGGAATTAGGTAACATTAAGAATCAGGTAATAATACGAAATGGATAATAGTCATTTGGGAATTTGGATTATGGTCATTCTTCAATTCCTCCGGTAAATGAAGGTTCTTAAGAGCAAGTGAAGGAGTTGAGGCCTGATGGGACTCTAAGGGCAACAAGGTAATGCGCGACAATCACCTGCCACCCACCTCAGATGTCCATAGGATCTTTGCCGTGTGTTGAACGTCGCCGCGTCAAACTTCCATCGCCGTTAGTCCTAACAGTAGACGTCAAAGACGGTAGCGCAGAAGGTAGCAACGTAGAAGGCCCCCGCCATCCCGCCGCCAGTCACTCCCGAACTCCCTATCTCTTCATAGGGACTGGCCAATATGTTAGGTGGCAAACGAGTAGAGCTTGAAAATTGAAGGTGACTGCATGAAGGCACTTTGTTAACCTCACCATCTGTTGCTAGAGACTGACTGATTAGACGCTGACGTATTTTCGTGACGTTGTGGCCGGGTAGATGGTTCTTTGCAGCAATTTAGAAATGAATAGTCAAAGTGGTAGCAGGGTTGTCGCGATTAATAAATCTAACATTAATTGAAATATATGAACCTGGCTCCAAATTCCCAACTGCTCACGCGTGCAGTTGCATTTAGTATGGTGTTTTTGTATACTATTTCCCCTTGAAATTAACTTTTCAACTACTATCAGTTTCCGTTCTGAGATGATGAGTTTCATGCATTGAGTACTGAAGTACTCATTTCGGAAATTTCAAACTAGTTTAGAGTTCCACTTCACGTACTTGACTACTGATTACTAAGTTAAATTCTCAAGTATTGTGGTGCTTATCATTTACAATCTATATATGATGATGTTATCCTCTAGCTGATGCCGTTGTAAAAATCGGGAATAAGCTTGTATGTATGTTTTGAATATAATGAAGGGACTACATTATCGGACGTAATCATGTATTGTTCTTATAGGTATATGGTTATAATGGTTTTGGAATAGATTTCTTAATTTATGTAGAGTTGTCGACTGCTAAAACTCCATGTGTATTGGTTTACGTTTTACCCAAACAATTTATGTAGTTTGGATGTTTATATGCACTTGAGGTTCTAATAAACGGCCCGAACATATCAATCTTTTTATTTCTGTCGAAATTTGTTATACTTGTTTGTACTTCATATCTCAGAATGATGCATTAAAATTTGCTTTATAATTTTGTCGGTGTACGTTGTTATATAATTACCCATTCCCTCCACAATTATTATATATAGCTCCACAAAGTAAGGGAGCGCTATATACATAGTGGAGGGCGTGGGGATTTTTTTGGCTCAAAATTCACGTTCGGCCACCTCTGGCCGGCGGGAATTTCGCGCAACGAACCCGCCAATCGCGGCAACCACCTTCGCGATAGCGCGGAAGCTGGCAGTGCCTGCCGGCCTGGTCGCTCGCGGTAGGACAGACTGACTGCGGCAGCAGGCCCTTTCCCGGCCGAGAAGCTCTGTTGCAATATTGCGCTGTTGTGGACATTCCTGCGCTGTTGATCCCCCTGGCGTTGCGCTGGGGCGAGCGTTGGCGCAGGCAAGTTCACCCGCGGCTGGCTTCCAGACTGCGGCGATTTCTGACTGGGATATTAAATGTTCGGACTCAACTATAGCGCTTCCAGTGAGGATGGCAGCAGGAGACAAGGATATTAAAATCCAGTCTGTGAACGAAGATTTCGATGTGGGTCAAGTCATCCTGTCGGGCCAAAGTGCTGTTGCGGATTTTGATAATCCAGCACATCATGCTTCCGACAAAAACTATTTTTCGATATCCTCTAATTCAACTATATCTGCTCCTACAAATGCAAAAATTTACGCGCTCAAAGGCATTAATTTATCTCACTTGTTCTCTCCAACATCGTTTCGCGTGAGAACGGCGACTGATGACCTGACGATTCAAAGAGAGTCTTTTTTCGAGCAAATACGTTGAATGTGACCGTGGCATGAGCGAAGTCTCATACGGACGATCTTGTGGTTTGACATTAAAGTACGTTTGTTTATTTCTGTGAACTCCTTTCTTTATTAATTTACTATATTTATATCAATTTCTCTGCATCTGTAAAATGCATCTTATTTTTAGTTCTGAAAGCCTATCGTTACGCTCATACAGGAAACTTCATATATCTGTACAGTGTAAATACGATTCTCCGTTTCGTCAAATTATCGTCTAATGATGATCGAATACAAATATAGCTTACTATTTTCCTTGCATTACAGCGTAGACTCGATGGCTAAGGACTCCCTCGATTTCGATTACATGCATCGTCTGATGGAGCTCAGGTGGGAAGAGGAGCAGAAGCGTCCTGCAGCTTTCATGCCTGATGGGGCAGTGAAAAATATTTGGGTGTGGTTGGAGGTGAGCTGGAATTATCATGAAGAAGCTTTAGAACAGTTTATCTTGATTGCCTGCATCCATTTGATTCTCTGGTGGGTGGCTTGTTATTGCATTTTTTCTCATTTAATATCCATTAAAGTGAAAAATTGTACACTCATGGTCTCTGGCGAGGATGATATTTTATTGACCACTGTAGATTGAAAGAGTGTTGGAATAGATGAATATATTTGTCGTTATACGTAAACGCTAGAATATGACAATCAGACCCATCTCAGCTCTGAATATCCCTCTTTACATGATGATGTTTATTTGTTCACTTCCCTCGCATATAGAGGGTTCCAAAACAAACCCAGTTTGGGGACCAGCAGTATTTCCAGAGGTGTCCTGTGAAAAATTGTCATATCACAGCGAAAAAAACTCTTGTAAGACCTGACGAAGTTAACGCCAACATCTTGGATCATTGGTGGCTGCGTGAAGAGAACGTATACGTGGGAGCAAATCCCATTTTGCCTGAAAGAGAAAGGTTGGGTCTACCTCCTATATAAATAATTGAGAGCCGTAAGACGAATAAACCTTTGATAATAAATTTTCATTTCACTAAGTTCTTAAAGCTGTTAATGAACAAAACTACAATTATTACTTTAAACTAATTATGTTCCATTATATTCATATATGATTTGCACTTGAATACTACGTATCACAAGTCACATATCAATAAAGCTCACTTAATCCGAGGTTAGAACAAGCAAGTAACGAGACAGGGAGAAGCTAACCGTTTTGCCCACGTGCCTCCTATTTAACGCGCCCCTGACGGCCGATAAAGGTTTTCTAATACACTTTACTTGTTGTCAGTGAGGCCACTGGGCACCACGTAATAAATCAGGAGGCAGCTAGTTTTTAAAGCTACATTTTCTTTTTGAGTTTTTAAAGTTGACTTGAAGTCCTAAACTTGAGGTCCTAAAGAGTGAGTGATCGGNACTAATAGAGCAGGAGATACTAATAGAGCAGGAGATACTAATAGAGCAGGAGATACTAATAGAGCAGGAGATACTAATAGAGCAGAGATTCCTTGAAGGCTGACGAAGGTTCTGCAGCAGCACGGCTTGCAGGTCGACATATACGGCGCATGTGGTAGCCTGCAGTGCGGGACCAAGCGCACTGAAGAATGTTATAAGATGGTAGAGCAGGAGTACAAGTTCTACTTATCCTTCGAAAACTCCCTCTGCAATCACTATGTCACGGAAAAATTCTTCACTTTATTACGGTTAGTAAGATTGTTTTGCTTCTCAATCCCGCGTACAAATTGAATATTAGTTTGCCCGCGATGAACGCGTCATGGCTCAATTATTCAATGAAAATTTTCTGTCTGTTTTTAATTTTGGTTCATGACTCTTATAAGCTGCACTGTAATTAATGCCCCATTTTCAAGGGTCCGTAATTTTTAGAAATCGTCATTGAATCTGTCTTCCAAACAGTTATATCGATTTTATTATTAAATTTTAATTTTTATGATATCGTATTACATGTTTTTAACTATCGAATATTTTAAAATAACTTCAGGAGTCGTGATATCAAGATTCTATTCATGTTTTATTATGAAGTCAAAAGTTTGTCACTTGTACCTTTTAAAAAATAGTCAGCATTTATCTTATATTAGTTTTAGTAACATCGGGACTGAGTCTGTAACACGAAGGCGCGAATTAGTTACATTACAATAAATGAAACCGTTCCCTCATACGACATCATACATATAAGATACGACGTCGTGCCAGTGACGTACGGTCTTGGCCAAGAGTTGACGGGGGCGCCGAAGGACGCCTACATCGACGTCTTCGACTTCCCCGACGTCCAGACGTTGGCCGCCTACCTCCTCTACCTCGACTCCAACGCTACCGCCTACAATGAATACTTCAGGTACAACGCACTTGCCAACTCCAACGCCACCACCTACAATGAATACTTCAGGTACAACATACTTGCTGCCAACTGCAACGCTACCGCCTACAATGAATAACAACGGATGGAAAATTGACAGCTGCCGTAAATGAAGCTAAAGAGCTGAAATGCTGATAAAGAAATGAATTTCAGCAGTACAGCAAGTTTCGCTGAGATAAAACCTTAAACCTACATATCGCCTTTAGCTGAACATTTCAATTATTGGTGATATCATGGGACGCTCTTTTTTGTACTGTGGTGATAATGCCGATTTTACTTCTAGGAGAACTGGAAATAAAATACTGTGAAAACTTGCTAACGTTGTCGTTAAAAATAAGACGCTGAAATCGGATTTTTTTCAAGACAGAAACCAAATTATTTTTCCATGCCACATTTCTATGTTTTATTTGATATTATATCATTTTTGGGAATCTGCTGTGTTCTTCTTATTTTACACCTAGTAATTGTTTTTAAGTGCTGAAGGTATTGCACAAGCCTAATTTCAAAATTTGATTCATATCACGGCATTATATTCAGCAATTTTTTAAATAAAATTAGAATACAATTTTAGCTTTGAGTCGCTCCTATTATTTATGTTACAATTCATGACAAATTTTATTTGTAACAAGTTTTTTAGAGAAGTTTTTATTATTTGCAGGTGGAAGCAGTTCTATGAAGTTAAAAAAATCTTGGGAGAAAGCAGAGTGTGTTGCAAGGTATAAATATGGAATAGATTAGGATTCAATAAGTGAAGAAATAAGAATGTGTATAAATTGTGAGTTGATGTCTAAAAATTTTCACTTTATATGACAGAATGGCGATTATTATTTGTCTAATTTCAGGAAAACCTTGAGTAGCAAACCTATTCGATTGAATACTTTAATTCTTTCAACAGAATTTTTACAGTTCGCAACAATTTCCTGCTATTACTTTGCAGTTGTGCGAAATTCTGGTGCGCGGCATCGAACCCCAACGTCAATATACGAACGTGCAAGCCTGGCTCAGCAACGGGCAGTGGATCAACGCTACAGAGAACGAAGAACTGAGCCACTTTATCAACGGAAGCCCCTACTTAGCTTCGCAGGCCCTATTGCAACCAAAACTATGATGAAGTTAATAGGGTGGATATATATTCACATATAAATTATTAATATATATAAATTATATATTAATAATATTTCTACACTTAAACATCTTCCAATTTAGGCAATGAGATTCCAGTCAACTTTGACTGTATATATATCGTGCCGAAATCGTGGAATTGCCGATTCTATGGAATCGCCAGCCAGTTTGCCGATTATGTAGAGTTAGCATTTCGTTGCTGATTTCGAGGTGTAACGTTTTAAAAACGTTGCGTTTCTATACTATAGGAATCTGGGGTGATGACAGTCAGCAAAGTTTTTTTTAATATCCAAATATAAAGGAACTTGACCGAACTTGACCCAAACTTTTCTAACTCTAACTGTCGATTTATGTTCTAAGTTCTAACTCTAACGCTAAAGTCCGAGTTTCTAATCTCTATGCATCAGCAACGAAATGATGATTCTACAGAATCGGCAAACAGGCTGCTGATTCCATAAAATCGGCAATTCCGTAATTTCAGCACGACACGTCGCAGGTTCCATAGAATAGGCCTTCCCGCGATGTCACCACGACATATATATACACGAGGCAATCGGTATATTCATGTATGGTATTTAGGCTTGCAAAAATTAAAATATTTATCTAACTTTAGTTTCAAGGTTTCAGTAAATTGCGATAAAAAATATTTGCATTCTAAGTGTTTTGTTTTACATACAGTCTAGTTCAAAGAAACGGGTCATCACCTTTATTATTAAATCGTTGCGTACAATATTTCGGGTTGGGTGTGATGAAAACAATATCCCTTTGACTCGTACTAATGTATCAAACAGGCAGTTGAAAATTGAAAACTTGACGATATGTAAAATTTCAGCTTTTAAAATTCATGCATTCACTTTTCCTTGATGAGTTTTCCTTCGCTTTTCCTCTTTCCCCCATTCACTTTTCCATGATGAGCGTCTTTTTAATTCTGCATTCAGTCGCCTCTCATGTTCCTTAAAATTCCCATGACACCAGGGGCATGCGTTTTAACTTACCCCCGGTCCAGTTAGAAATTTAATGAAACGGTACAACTTTTAATTGTGTGAAATATTTTAATGAATTGCCTGATGATTTTGAAATAGACTGTTCTAAATTCTTCTTAAAGACTAAATTCCGCTATTTTATTCTTATCCATGATTAATTTGAGTTCGATTCTAATGTAAGATTTAAGCCATTGCCTTTCTTATTAAGATTTTTGATAAATATTATGGTGTAAGTCAACGTTCTTTTGACTTTTCGTCTTAGTTGTATCTGACTTTTAGGTCGAGTTGTTGTTGCTCTTGTTATGTTCATTTTTAGTCGCCACGCTGCTTATTTTTATATCAGTTTTATTGAAGGTTAATTTATCAGGATTTTTTTACTTGGTTGGATTACTTGGACTATCTTATTACTTGGATTACTTGGACTATCATATTATCATTAAATGTTATTGTTCTATTGAGAGTAATATCGCCTATGTCGCCTGTGAAGCTTATTAGCTTATATGTTATTCGCAAAGAAGCCTTTTCAATTTCTTTCTTCAAATTTTTGGTGTTGTCATGCGTTTTATTTCTGTTTGCTCCGGTGTGATTAAAGAATGAAGAATACTTTATCGAGGATGAGCTGGTAAATTAGGCCTGTTTAGCGGCATCGGGCCGCGTTTGCTGCTCAGTTTGTTGCTCAAAAGGCTTTTTTTTAACAAATATAATTAAAATAAAATGCTCTTCTACGCAAACCTATAGAGTCAGCTGCCCACATTGTCAGCTATTTAAATCTTCAAGTCAACTAAAACCCCACCTGTTCTTAAAATTCAATCTGACTATTCATTTTATCTCGTATCATTAGACCTGCTCCAGTTTCGTCGTTCAGTTAGGAGTAATACTGTTCTGCTTGTGGCCATTGATCATAGTTCTAAATAATAGCAGTACCTTTGAGAAATAAATTGGCTAGCACTGTATCAAATGCGTTCAAAAATATTGTATTACCTATTGTATTACCGAATTCTGACAAATAAAAGACTGGAATTAAGGGCTGCAGGACTTAGCGCAATTGCATATTCCTTTAATATTACGCACATTTATTCAACTCGCTATAGGGCTGCATCTAATAGCTGAGTTGAGCGCAGTAATCAGACAATTATTCAGTTTTTGAAGGGTATCACCGCAGATAATCCATCACAGTGGGATGAAAAAATTAGTAGAGCTTTAATAACTTTCAACAACACGCACCATTCGCAGATATTTGGTGTAGGCTGGCTCACCATATCCTTAGGAAGAACCATGATAGCACTGGCGCAGTGCCTGTGAACGTAGAAACTGTTAATTGGTGGAGAGAAGGGCATGTAAAGTTTTGTTCATTCAAGGTAGGTCAGAAGGTAGCGCACAAAATTAACAGAGTAGGGAATCTTAGCATAGATAAATTAGCACTGAAATTCGAAAAATCATTCCAGGTAACGAAAGTACAGTGTAATGGGGTTACGTATGAAATTAGGGATAATAGGGGTAATAGTTCACAGACAGCATAAGGAATGGTATGATTTTCCAAAATATTTGCATAGGTATTTAGAGTAATCAGGCGACGCGCAATCACGACTTACCTTAGGACGGAAGTGGAGACAATTTTGGAGGTACCGGAATTTCATTTTTAAGTGGCAGTAGTGGTAGTAGTAGCAGTGATGACAGCGACAGTAGTGATGACAGTTTTAATGACAGTGGTAGTAGTTCAGACAGAAACACGGTTGAATCTTGGATTGGTATGCAGGATCTACCCGACCTCAGTTCGCAATTGCGGTGTTCACGAGTTGAATTCTTCTGCTTTGATCTGACTCCAAAAGATCTGGTTATAATAATTAGTCTGATTTACAATAATAATTAGTCTGAATAATAAAATATAATTAGTCTGAATACAAAACTGATTTACACTAATTATTTACTTTATTTCACTCAGGAATTTCAACCCTCCCAAAAGTTGACCTTCGAGTTTATTAATGTCACTTGCAACGTTAAAATTTTGCCATCGTGAAATCGATTTCGACTGGAAGTAAGAGCTACGGGCGGTAAACTGGCTGCGAAAACGCATTGACACCGAAATTCCGAGCGAACAAAGAAATAATGGGCTATCAAACATCTAATATAATTTCGACTCCACAAACTCCAAAAAATATAAACACATGAAATCTCACATCCTCCCACTAAATTATGAACGTAACGTGAATAATTTACAACAATCATTATTACATAAATCAAGCTTCTTAGTTAAAATTAAATGCTCCCTCTCCTCCCTCGTTAGTCATCGTTGGTTTGATGTTATCTGTTCATGTCCAGTCCAGTTATTGGAAACACTTTCCGCCTTCTGATTTTCGTTACAAAAGATGTGTTATCTTTAAGTTCGGTTTTCCTTTCCCGTACCGTTGACATTTAACACAGTGATGTAGAACAGATTAGATTGATCTCCTTGCTTAGGTTATCCAAAATCTTGTTCGCAACTTTCCCTTGAGAAACTGTGTTCCTGCGTGACAATAATTTAGATGATATTCAACTATCATTTCTCGTACCATCTTGTGTCTTCCGGGCATCAGGATAAGTTAACGAAATTCTTCTTTGCCGTCGCTGTCTTGACTCTTAATATACCATCGGGACCTTTCACAACGGGGAGTCTCTTGAGGGAATTCTTGTCTGAGCCATCCTCTTGAATATATCTAATCACGTACGACTCTGCACGATGTAACTCCGACAAACTTAATTGCTTCCCAACGAGGTTGACATTCTTCTCATCCTTCAGGTAATCAATAAATCGTATCCACCAGGCGACCATCCTCACATTTTTGTTATCGGAAATATATTTGAGAGGAAAGATTCTTGCTTCGGTTTTCATAACCATGTTTACCTTTGTGAGTTTTCGTTCCGAATTAACCTGATCCTCATCCGTGGGTTTGTTGGATATGGGCCTTTGAACACAAAATTTGAGCCAAGTTGGGCCCTCCCACCAGTTTGATGCTGCTAGTTCTTCTGGACTGCATCCTCGTGAAGGAAGATCAAGTGGGTTCATCTGACCAGAAACGTGATTCTATTGTGCGGGCTCGGTTAACTCCAAATTCTACCGCTTCGAAATATGTTGCTCGGCGCAAAACATGTCTATTGAGGTTTAAGCTTGGGACTCACTGACGGGGCCGCTAACAGTCCATCCAAATCTTGTCCTCCACGCCACAAGGCCTTTACCCAAATTCACGCGTGCACCACTCTTCACAAGAGCTTCATAATCTGATCCGATAATAATATCAATATCGCTCCGTTTTACATAATTGGTAATCATGTCATTGACGCGGATTCCATGTTTCTCAAGCCTTTATGCTAGCAGGCCTGCTGGCACACGAGGAATGCCTCCTCGCAACATATGCTTCTTCGTAGTATTATTTACATCTTTCCCTCTCCGTCCATTCCCGTGATAGATACATTATGACGGAAGGTTTTTCTAAATGGAGTAACACTGCCATCCACGAGCACGTCTAGATAGTTCCTCTCCCACAGGCTGACTCTTTAATTCCTTCACTAAGGATGAGCTTATGGAACTCCTTTGACTTCCCTCATCAAATAATAGTCTCACTGTTTGGGGTTGGCTTGATTCTGTACTTCGCACCTTTACCACCAGCGTCTTCATCAAAACTTCGTTGGTGCACTGGGTGCTTTACTGATGGGCGGCTGTCTCCAGGCTGAGGTTGCTTGTTTCATCCAGTTCTTTGACTACAGTATCTTCTGGAGAATTTGCTCCCTTTCCCAATTGACGACACATAACTGTCTTGTGCTTCTTACTGCAGATCTGACATTTGACGAACGAGCGACATGTTTTTGCAAAATGTCCCTGATTGAAACATAATATACACACACATCCTTCTTTAATTTTTGCATATCTCTCATCATACGTTAACTTGTCTGCTTTCAAACACGCTTCAGTTTTGTGTTTGCCACTGCAAAACAGATAATTGATTTCCTGCCCCGAGAGTAGACCAGCTGCTGTAGGCAACTTCTCTTCCTTAAACCTCCGTGATTTCTCGCTCTGATATTATTTCTATCCTGCTGAACTCGTATTTACTTTCATATCTTAGACACCAGACTCGACCAATCCAATTCTTCGTTCCATATGGTATTCGGTTTTTAAGAATTCCATCAAAGATTCGATGCGCGATTTCTTTTCTCCAGTACTTGATAATCGCTAACACATCTCTCAAGCTACAAGAACGTCGCTATCTAACGAGGACTCAATCAATGGGAAGAGCCATGTTTCTGGTTCCGCTTTGGCCA